GGAGTCAGATAAGCTCTTATATCAAAAACCGCTTTGAAGATTTTAGAATTAAATCTCAATAATGTAACCTTTTTTTTTCCCTGAACCATAATTGTATATCTGGAAATGTACACCATATATAGATAGATGTCTCTCTTGATTATTAATTGAAATATCAGTAAGTTTCCAATCATTCATTATCAATGGAGTATAGTAAATAATCGTAGACAGACTGATGGCCTTTTTTGAGTATTGATGAATCGGCCACGTTTGGATGCAAGATAGGATTATGCATGACTGGAGTAATATAATACATGTAATCAACCCAGTATAAATTATTACTCTAATCCCGTGTTTGGGTGGAGATTGGACCAGATCATTGGACTAATGACTCTCCCATTGTTGTGCTTGCTAATACATATCATTATCATCATATTTGTAAACCTGCCACAGTACTAAAATCTATCATTGAAGACACAGGACAGGAGAAGATAGGAGAGAAAAGAGTACCTTGCAATTTATTAGCCAAAGAAGAATGTATATGATTAAATTTATAACCAAATAATAATTTAACAAAAATCTATCATTAAATTCAATGATGGATTTAATGATGGAACCTTGCTGTAGTCAGCCAAATAAGGATGTTTATGATTAAATTTTGTTGTTTCATGCTCTAATTTTGTAACTTTTTTTATTAATAAAAAAAAAAGTCTAATAATCTGCCAAATTATGAGAAATGCTCGTCCTCGAATAAAAAAGTCTCAAAAGGTGAAGATAATTTACGAGACAGCCTCATGGACTCATCATCACCATCCAAAAATATCTCCATTTTTTTTTTACCACATTCATGCTAAAAGATATTAACTAGATTATATCTAACACTGCAAATGAATCGAACTGTTTACGAACAGATTTGGTTGGGCTCATTAAGGATTCGACTTGTTTAGTAAACGAACCGATCTCGAACTCAAATAAGCTTAGCTTGTTAAGTTCAACATGTTTTTCTTTATTTGTATAAAGTGATCATAAGATTATGGGTGAATTTTTAAGAAATGATAGAGAATGCCTTAAAATTTCACTTATCCTGAAAAGTAAAGTGATAATGCGATACACGAGAATTTCTTTTTAAAATAAAAAATTAATTTTGAGTTTTAATTGTTTGTGTGTAGAAAATTTTAGCAATTGAAGTCAAATAAAAACAGACTTGTTAATGGTTGATAATTATTTTTTTTTATTGTGTGTGATCCTATGTAAAAAGCTCATAAAAATAATTTCTTTCAATTTAAAAAAAAAAAGCTATATTCTCAATCTAAAATCAAATTCTCATTTATGTTAATCAAATTTACCATAAATTATGAATTCCATTTGTATCAAAAAAAAATATATATTTTTTGAAAAGAAATAAAAACATTTGAAAATTCTATAATACACAAATTATGACTTGGTTATAACTCAACGTGTATTATTTTGGTTATTAATCGAAAATGACTTTACTAATTTCTTATGTTTTTTATTATGTCTAAAGTGATGCATCGGATCTTTAATTATACTTCAAGATGATATTTGATTATGATCTATTATAATACTTTTATATGACAATATTTAAGTATTTTATTATACGAAAATGTGTTTAAACTTTAAAGTGAGTTGACTCAAAGGTAAAATCAGTAAGATCGCAAGAGTTATTTACATTGATATATAAAAAATTATAAATTCAAATCATAAATAGTGTCTTCAAAGATAATCAATTACAAAATCTCTATAACCTTAATAATTTCAATTTTCAAAGGGGTTCTGATTAATCATAGGTAAAGGTAGTCCTCTCTCTCTTGAGTGGAGGTTTTTTTCTTGCCTTGTGCAAGTGTTTTTCTTGTGATAGAAGGTTGGCGGAGGTGGTAGTGAAGCGATGGCTGACTCCTTTCTTGACCTTACTCGTACGCTATCTCTCACTTCGGAGGAGGACACAGTTGTAAGGCTTGGGGGGGACTCTACAAGCTTGATGATGGGCAAATCGGATATGTGCCTTGTCGGCAAGTTGCTCACTCGTAGGCCGTTTAATGTTGACGTCATGAAGAGTACTCTGCTATCGGTGTGGCAACCCACTAAAGGAATGCAAGGACGAGTCATTGGTGACAACCTGTTTGTTTTCGTGTTTGGTCATGTTGTGGATAAACGGAGAGTATTATTGAACGGCCCTTGGACGTTTGATAAGCACCTTCTAATGTTGGGTGAGATGGATCCAAATGTTCAACCATCTAACATTCAATTGACATCGGTGCACTTCTGGGTGCATGTTTGCAATCTTCCTCTAATTCTTATGAATAAAGAGGTTGGGCAAATAGTTGGCAACTTTGTTGGACAGTTTCTTGATATGGATTTTGAAGACGGTGGAATTGCATGGGGCCGAACAATGCGAATTCGAGTGGCCATTGATGTTCGGAAGCCCCTACGACGGGGGATAAAACTTGCTTCGTCCTCTGCTGACCCTATCTGGGTGGATTTCAAATATGAGCGCCTCCCGATTTATTGCTATTTTTGCGGAAGACTCGGCCACAGCGATCGGGAGTGTGATGCTAAACTCTCTTCTGCCGATGGCACTCGGGTTGATGTGTTGCAATATGGGGCATGGTTGAGGATGGATACTTTCAAAAGCAAAGGGCCTCGTCGCACTGGTTCGATTGATCGAGGAGTAGGGATGAGGCCTCCTGGTGGTCAGGGGACACCGATGCAGATGATTTCTGAACATGTGAATCAGGAGGAGGGGGCACCGCAGAGTGTTTCGCCACTCTGTGCTCCGGTGGCTGTGGTAGCTGACCGGCGTCGGGATAGGAACGCACACGGTGGAGAAACTCTGATTCTCGTGATTGATGGCGTTGATAAAGGAAACGCGGTACATGTGGCTACAATTTCGGGCAGTACCATATCTTCGCCCACGTCTACTACTTTTGAATTTATGAATGGGCGGGAGGTTACTGCAGAAGGAGGGCCGGGGCATCAATCTCAACATTCCAGTTTGGGCCTAGGTGGGGCTAAGCCCACGGCAATTGAGTCAGGTTTGGTGGCCCAATTTTCTCCCCTGGCTCCTAATTTTTTAATGGAGGTTGAGGCTAGCCCACTGAGTGAATCAGTGTTGCCCAAAAAGAAGTGGAAGAGGGTGGCCCGTCAACATATGGACCCTAATATTGCTCACTCCCCTGTTACGGGGACTAAGAGAGTACTTAAGGAGGTGGTAGTTAATGATGGGAATCTGAGTGATGAAACTTGGGATGTGAAGGCTGGGAAACGTTTGTGTGTGCATGGGGGTGATGCTATCAACCCATATAACAATATTTCAATGGTGGAGGCTGATGTTCAGCCCCGCCGATCCCAATGAATGTGTTATGCTGGAACTGCCGCGGGCTTGGGAACCCACGATCAGTTCGATCTCTTCAGTTTCTACTGAAAACGGAAGTTCCTGGGCTGGTTTTTCTCATGGAGACCAAGCTTGATTCGAAGCATATGGATGGGATTCGGCAAAAACTAGGATTTTGTGGTGGTTTTTATTTTAACCGAGTTGGACTTGCGGGCGGACTTGCTTTGTTATGGCCAGCGGGTATCTAGGTTAGTGTGAAAAGTTATTCGGTTGGTCACATTGATGTATTTGTGGACGCTGGATTGGGGGAACACCCTTGGAGATTTACGGGATTTTACGGACACCCGGAAATGGCACAACGGAAAAATTCTTGGGCATTATTGCGTAGACTAGCAACATGCTTCCAAATGCCTTGGCTTTGTGCGGGTGATTTTAATGAAATTTTGTTTTGTCGCGAGAAGTGTGGCGTCGTGGGGCGTAGTCCATCCCAAATGGAACATTTTCAGAATGTTATCGCAGATGCACACCTGGCTGATTTGGGTTTTGTTGGGCTAATTTTCACTTGCTCCAATAACCGCGGTGGCAACGCTTTGGTTCAGGAGCGATTGGACCGTGGGTTTGCTAATGATGCTTGGCAACTCTTGTTTCCACATGCAAAGGTTTATCTTATGGCGTGCACATCCTCCGATCACCTACCTATTTGTGTTGACATTTGTGGGGCTAAAGAACAACGTCAATCTCCTGCTAGTAGTCATCGCATGTATCGGTTCAAAGCTATGTGGCTACGGCATGCAAGTTGTGAGCAAGTAGTTGCCGATAATTGGTTGCCTTCTTCTAATGTGGATGTTCGAAGTTTGGTCTCTACTATTGCACATGTAAGTTCTTCGTTGCGACGATGGGATCGTAATGTTTTTGGATGCGTCAAGCGACAGTTGAAGGAGAAAACCGATCAATTACAACGGTTGCTTACGCTAAGTTCTAATTTTCCGGACGATGTTGCAGAAATGTGTAAGCTACGTTGTGATATTGATGAGCTTTTAGAACGGGAATCTATTTTTTGGGATCAACGTGCTCGGGCTAATTGGCTAAAGGATGGGGACCGTAATACTTCGTTTTTTCATTCCAAGGCCACCCAACGTCATAAGAAGAAGAAAATTGCTGGTATTGTTGATCCTAATGGAATTTGGCAGGAGGATCAAAGAGTGGTGGAGGACAATTTTGTGAATTATTTTTAGGAATTATTTTCAGCTGGTGAGGGACTGAACATGGGCCCAGTATTGCAGTTGATTCAGGCGAGAGTTTCCAATCGTAGTGCGTCTCAATTGAGTAGACCATTTTCTGAAGTTGAGGTCCACCATGCGCTTTTCCAAATGCATCCAACGAAGGCTCCCGAGCCCGATGGTAAGCCTGCTTTATTTTTTCAAAAATTTTGGCCAGTGGTGGGTCCTAGTGTGAGCTCTGCGGTGCTTGGGGTGTTGAATGGGGTTGATGAGATTCACATATTAATCATACCTTCATCTGCGGTGCTTGGGGTGTTGAATGGGGTTGATGAGATTCACATATTAATCATACCTTCATTGTGCTGATTCCTAAAATTAAGAATCCCAAGCTCATGTCAGAATTTTAGCCAATTAGCTTGTGTAATGTTGTCTATAAAATAATTGCAAAAATGTTGGCCAATCGTCTTAAAGAGGTGCTGCCTTCTGTAATTTCCGACACTCGAAGTGCGTTTATTCCGGGCCGTCTCATTACTGATAATGCGTTGGTGGCATTTGAAGTGTTTCATTTTCTCAAGAATAAGAGGGCCGGAAAGGATGGTTGCCTGGCGTTGAAACTTGACATGAGTAAAGCCTATGACAGAGTGGAATGGCCATTTATTAATCAAATGATGCTCCTGTTAGGAATTCTGCAACGGTTTGTGCAACTACTTATGAATTGTGTGTCCACTGTTTCTTTTTCTGTGCTTGTTAATGGGAAGCCTTCCAGAATGTTTTACCCAACAAGGGGCCTCTGCCAAGGGGATCCGCTTTCGCCTTATTTGTTTACTATTTGTGCGGAAGGAATGTCGGCGCTCCTCGCCCATGCTATGGCAGCTATAGCGATCCCGGTTTACCCTTGTTGTACAGTGATCCGGACATGTGTCCGTGGATGTTGGTAGTTGTTTATTATATTGTTTGCATCCTCTTTACTTTGTATATTGAGTTATAGGATGTGTTTGGCAGGTTTGTTACAGGTTGGTTGTGTTTGGGAGCCTAGTGCTGCTGCCCAGACTTTTGGACCTTCGCTCGAGCGAGGAGTTGGTCGCTCGAGCGAGAGTTGAGTTCGTGTCTGGTGGATCGAGCCAGAGTGGCTTCGCTCGAGCGAGCGATGACGTCTGGTTCTGGACCTGAGAGTTGCAT